GGCCACTCTGGTAGCCTAGATAAAATCCATGCTACTGTAGTGGGACATCGCCCCTGTTTTGCATTTTGATGGCTGAACAGTACAACCGCATGCTTAGAATTTCAAAGTCCAAATCAATCAGTAATACTATAAAGACACAGACAGGTCAGCAGTTCGAATCCTGTCCCCACCATAAGAAAGGGTACAACACTTCGCTCCTCTGCTCCTCCGCTCCTGCGTCCGATCTTTGTTCCTTTTTTCTACGGACAGTATCGCTTGCTCTGTGCAAGTGGGAGATCGCCCCTGGCACTCTGATGGCTGAACGTTACAGGTACAACCGCATGCGTAGAACGAAATTAAAATTAAAATTGATATTGATAAATATTAAATTGATAATACACGGACTAAGACAGGTCAGCAGTACGAACCCTGGCCCCCACCATAAGAAAGGTTACACCCTGCTCCTCCCTCCCTTTTCTGTCACCATTTTTATCTCTCTTAATCCGTGCAGGTGGGGGACAACGCCCCTGTGGCATTCTCATGGCTGAACGGTACAACCCCATGCTTTGAACGAAGTTTAATTTGTTTAAATTGATATAAAATACACAGACACAGAGAGGTCATTACTTCGAATCCTGCCCGGCCCCCCACCATAAGAAAAAGGGTACAACACCCCGCTCCTCTCTCCCTTTTCTTTCACCGTTTTGTGAAGACAGGGAAAAAAAAAAAAAAAAGTGTTTGTGTTCCCCAAAAGAAGAAGAGGAGATTCTCAACTGCTGCTGACCAGACATCCAAACCGTTGATCTGTTTGTGGATTTGGTTGATGTTGGTTGACTTGCAGAACCTGAGGCATGGATTAAGGTAGCGCCTGATCAGCCTTGCCCGCCTTATCAGCCAAATAAAGGAAGCGTGAAGAACAGAAAACACAAACGGCGGATGGCACTGCGTGCGCTTTTTGCAAAGGTGGGTGAGAGGGGAGCTGACATGAGGAAGCAACGCCTTAGATACATCGGTAAAATAAAAAAACAAAAAAAACAAAAAAAGATTAAAGGAGGCAGTCAGGGGGAGGGGGGGGGAGGGGGAGGAACTGCTTGACGTTTCTGGCATGTGGGCAAGTGTCTGAACTCGGCTGAACTTATAGAAGGTGTGTACACTGTGTAGCATGCAGCCAAAGTGCATGCACACTACCTTGAGGGGGAGGGAGGGGGGGGGGGGGGGGGAGGGGGGAGGAACTGCTTGACGTTTCTGGCATCTGGGCAAGTGTCTGAACTCTGCTGAACTTAAAGAGGGTGTGTACACTGTGTAGCATGCAGCCAAAGTCAATGCACACTGCCTTGTGTTCGCAGTTTTTTTTTTCTTGTTCTTTTTTTTTTTTTTTTTTTTTTTTTTTAAATACAGTGGTCTTCTCCTCATATATGGGGTTGAGATGTAGGTATGGTGACAGTACAGTGTGCAAGAACACAAAGTGTGCAGAACACAGAGTGTGCAAAAGCACAAGGCAGAGCACAGAAGCATTCATTACGCTTAGTTCGGTCACATCTAAACTGCTCATCACACCCTGTTCGATAACACAGTACCATCTATATATGGGGAACAGCTGTATTTCTTTTGGGTGGCAACAGTGTTTTGTTTTTTTTTTTTTTTCTGGCTTTCTCAACTCTGCGAAGGCATTTCGAGAATTCTGAAGCAGACAAGTGACCTGGGAGCTTGGTTGCTGATCTCAGGACGTATTCGTACTGAGGCTACCGAGAGTTGAGTGTGGCCTTAACTGTGTTTTTTTACTGTGCCCCCTTTGGTTTTAACTGTGCCCCCTTAACTGTGCTGTTAACTGTGCCGTTTATTGTGCCCTTGACTGTGTTCTTAACTCTGGTCTTAACTGTGGTGGTAACGGTGGTGGTAAACTACGGTCTTAACTACCGTCTTCACCCGAATAGAACGCCCTGTCATTATCGCTGTATATGGTCTGCAAATTGCACCAAATACAGCTATACTGACCGGGTGTTCTATTCGGGTGAAGACGGTAGGGTCTTAACTGTGGTATAAACTGTGGTTTTAACAGTGTCAAAAGCTGTGGCCTTAATGATGTTCTTCGTTATGGTTTCAACTGGTCTTAACTGTGATAGATCATAGCTGTGGTCGTACCAGTGGCAATGACTATGGTTTTAACTGCGGTGTTAACTGTAATTTTAAGTGTGGTGCACCTACATTCCAAGAAAGCCGAAACATTAAAAACAATATTAACGACGATAAATAAAATATCTAAGGAACGGTGTTAACTGTAATTTACTAATTTTAAGTGTGGTCACTGTGGTGTAATGAGCCCAGTGTCGTCAAATAATCATGTCGTCAGATAGCAATGTCGTGCAATGTCCTGCAGATGATCATTCCAGCTATTCCATCAATTCGAAGTCGTTGAAGTACATGATCCCTCATTACCACGTGTAAAGTCTCCAAGTCAAGTAAAGAGTATCCAGACTAGAACAGAGAGGGGGAAGGAAAGACAGATGGAGGGAGAAGAATATTGTCGCAATCAAGTCCCTCTTCTGTTCCAGGCTTCCTTCCCCACCTCTGCCACGCCAGCAATCTGCACACAGTATGACACGTGGATGATGTAAACGCAGCCTCTCGCAGACGAGCGATCCTTCAGCAGCGAGCAGATTCAACGGCAGCATCACATCAGGTGAGACCAGGTATGTGCACGACGACATCACATCTCGCCCACACTCTCTCTCTCTCTCCTCACTACCTCGCCGTCGTCTGTGGTCGCAGCAATGGCTCCCTTCCCTCTCTCTCTCCTCTCTTACTACAGCGTCTGGCTGGCGCCCACGAAACAGCCTCGGGCCAGCATCCTCCTCTCTCAAGTCTCACGTGCAGCATCAAAGCCGCAAGCAACTCGCAAGACTGAATGCCCAATTAGTGGTGAAGTCAACTCTATATAGTGTTGACTCACGTTGTCCAGGGTCAGCTTCTGTCTGTGTGAGGCCCCGGACCGTCCGGATGTAGACGGCTTTGATGCAATGTGTCCCAGTTTCGGTCTGGACTCCTTGAGGCCTCAATCTTCCGGAACCTGCAGACCACTGTTAGATCATTCCAGATTGACGGCCAGGAAATCTTATGCGTTGACTTTGACTTCTCGGATCTGAGCTTGGGTCCACGAGTCCACTTTTGACATTTTCGGTCAATTGTCGGTCTGGGCCTTTTCCTAAGGCCTATCTTTTCAGGGCCTGTGAGGGCCTGGGCGTGGTCATTGCCCTTCGGAGTGTCAATTTGCACGCGGAGTGCAGAACTGGTTTAAACTGTGGTTTCAATCCCAGACGTAACAGTGCCTTTGACTATGGTTTTACTTATGTTCTTAACCATGGTTTGAACTGTGGCCTATTAACAGTGGTCTTAACTATAGTTTTAACTGTTGTCTTATTTGTTTGCTTGGTAAAGGTTTAGTCCCTTGACGCGCTCATGCTGGGGGGCTACTCAGGATTGACATATGGTCGTAACTGCGGTCAGGTCCATGTGTGGTCGTACAAGTTTGATGCTCCAAAGGGTGCCCATAGTTCAGATGATCGTGTGTTCTCTCCCCAAAAGAAGTGGTATTGCCTAAGGAGGGTCACGCCCGCAATTGCCCCCGAGACTCTGAGAGTGAGTCGATTGCCTCTGCTATGAGTGGTGGGCAGATGCACTGTTGATAATGCTAATATGAGTATTTGCTCTCAGGCATTTCAAGGCCTCATAAAACTGAGCTCTGTCTCTTTTTTGTAGGGAAATTAAAGGCAATAGTGTAATGGGCCCACTGTTTGCACAGCGTCTCACACCACACAGATGTCACACTTGATCCCAGGAAAGTGCACACAAGAGATGGAAACCAGCATGAGATATAAGAATTTGGGTAACCGTTAGGAAATCAGTGTCTTATATGGCAGAGCGGTATGTATCCAGGTGGGTGGCTATGGCCGCCAAGCAACATCACTCAGGTATGAACTTGTCTCCCACTTACTACTGTATCCTCAGGCCTCTCGCTCTCTCTCTCTCCCCATCCCTCCATCCCTCCCTCTCTCCCCCTCCCTCTCTCCCCCTCCCTCCCTCCCTCTCTCTCTCTCTCTCTCTCTCTCTCTCTCTCTCTCTCTCTCTCTCTCTCTCTCTCTCTCTCTCTCTCTCTCTCTCT